AATTCTTATTAATAATGAACTATGGGTGACATCACTCACACCTGATCACCAGTTTGTGGTTGAGGAGCACCGGAATAGATAATATTCAGATCCTTTCCCATAAACATCTCATTTTTTGGTCATGAGTGCTTATTCAGTAGACTGTCAAGATATTTTTTATAGACTGAAAATGAGTTACTCTGCACTGTCCAGTTTGTTAATCTGAAAAAGAAAGGATGTTGCTGTTATTCCTTAAAAACATTTAGCCCAGGGAATGTCAGACTCATTTTTTTTTTCCTGCAGAATTGCAAGAGGCATTGAAAATGTCAGGCTGGCTTGTGAAGATTACTGCCATCTGACATAAAGATGGCCTCAACTAGGGATGGAAAAGGTGATGGAGACTACTGATCAAATCCCTCAGATGAGAAATATTTCAGGTTAAACAGATCACTTTCATTTTTGCATTCAGCCTTTCCCCCGTTTACTCGTTTACTTATATTTACTTATTTTTTCCTTGGGAATCTTAAAAGCCTAACTGTAGAATTTTTAGAAACTATTTGTAATCTCCTTAAGGACAGTTCCATATATCCTTTAAAAATTCCTTTTAGAATATTTGAAACATTTACTATTTAGCCTATTTATTCTGGCACAAAAGCTTCAAAAACAGGATATTTTCCCAAAGTCCTACTTTAGCTATAATGTGGCAAATCACAAGCCTGCTTCTATAATTTTTTTATATGGAAGTCTTGGAATTTCCACAGCTTAAGTTCTGAGCCAAGAAAAATATACAGAGATTGAAAGCAGGGAATTTTCGAATTCTGTTGACTTATTACACAACATTACACTTTTACAGATACACTTGCTTAACAGGGAGTTGATTTTAAGTACAATATAGATATGGAAAGTTGATTTTTATGAACTCAGAAAAAAAAGTGGTAAAAATAGATTTTATCTAATAATACCATATCCTAAGACAGGGTGTGCCTAAATTATCTACCAGGCTTTCCTAGACTTTTACCGGTACAGGAAGGCCAAAAAAGGTTTGAGGTTGAGCTGAATTGAGACTGTTTTGAAAGTTGGCAGTGTACTAAAGTGGGAGGAAAACTCAGTGGAAAATCCGGAAACTTGACTTCTAGTCCTGATTTTCCTATTACCTACTATCCACCTTTGAGCAAGTCAGTCAGCCTCTCTGACTCCTGGTTTCCTTCTTCTAATGGAGATAAAATAATCACCCTGCTTACTTCCTAGGAGGAAGGCTTGTTAAGAGGTTTACCTAAGATTTAAAAAAATTTAGAGAATTTTAAAAATTATAGTAGACCTTCGAGTTACAACCGGCCTGACATATGAACAACTTAGGTTATGACCAGAATTTTAGTTTTAACTTTAGAACAAAATTTTGAATTATGACTACTGGTAGCTTGTGATTCCAGATGGTCTCAGATACGGATTTAACCCTTAAAGAGTTCAGGAAGGAACATGACAACATCTTTTTCTGTGTGGGGTTGAGAAATCCTGGGCCAATGTCTCTCTAAGGACACTGAGATCTGCTTGTATACAGGAGAGAGACTTTGAAGGCTGTGTAGAGGAGCCCGAGCCTTCGATTGACTGACTTGAATTACAACCAGTCCTCGAAAATGAATTGAGTTCATTAGTCAAGGGTCCATTGTATAATAATGCTATAAATGTGAGATTTCTCTCTATATATCTTCTCTATAATTCAATTAATCTGAACATACAGCGTTGAAGTTGGGTAGGATGACAAACTTAGTTGGTACAGTTTTGCTTAATATGACATGGTATTTAGAGCATTAATATTTACCTCCATTCTTGTAAATCTACCTCACTATATCTTTGGTTTGTAAAGTATTAATAGTTGTGCTGAAGAATGTAGGGAAGCCTACTGAGTTCCTATTAAGACCATGATCTTCCATTTTGCTCTTCTTCCAAAGCTCAAAGAATTTCTGGGTAAACCACTCCTCCCCTGCTTGCCTTAGTAATACAAACTGCTTATGAAACTAGACCCAGAAGATGAGACTAATTAAATCTGATTTCAGAATTTCCTCTAACAGACTACCAAGATTAACCCCATATTTCCTTACACGTCTCTTGACAAGATCAAACTTCTACACTCAATATCAATACATATCTGTAAATTCCTTATTCTGCATCTCCCAAGACTTTTATTATGCACTCTAGAATTTGAGATCCATCATCTGAAAAATCCCTGATGTTGTCTACCTTCACTAATCCTTTCCTTCATCTTTTTATTTTAATGGAAACCTGGTTTGGCTTGCTAATACTCCACCAGAATCCTGTCAGATGGTGGCCCCACATGCTACAGAGCCGGGAGGTCAGATTAGGGATTCTCCTTCTTCTCATTGCAACTTCTAAAAATTGCCCAAAGTGTTTAATCTCCTGATACATTTGGTGACCCTACTTCATTCTTTAATGATTTTCATTCATTCTCATCCTCTCTACCATGCCTATCTTTATCTTACTAATTTGAGTACCCTGAGATCTGCCCACGCCCTACCGAGGTCCCCAGTCACGCGGAAGACGCCGAATTACCCCGCTGCAGACAGGCAGGGCTGCCCACGCCCTACCGAGGTCCCCAGTAGCGCGGAAGATGCCAAATCAGCCCGCTGCAGGCAGGCAGCCACCTGGTTCCACACTACAAAGAGGCAGAGGACACCAGAGCAGCAGACCAAGGTACTGAGTTCCGCTGCTCCCGGCCCAGAGGTAGGGGCTTCCCGGTCAACATCCCTCCCGCTGCTCCTAGCCCAGAGGAAAGGGCTTTTGGGCCACCTTCTGTCCCGCTGCTCCTGGCCCAGAGGAAGGGGCTTCTGGGCCACCATCTCTCCCATCGCTCCCGGCCCAGAGGGAGGGGCTTCGGAGCCGCCATCCCACTGCTCCTGGTCCAGAGGAAGTGGCTTCCCGGCCACCATCCCTCCGGCTGCTCCTGGCCCAGAGGAAGGGGCTTCTGGGCCACCATCTCTCCCATCGCTCCCGGCCCAGAGGGAGGGGCTTCTGAGCCGCCATCCCACTGCTCCTGGTCCAGAGGAAGTGGCTTCCCGGCCACCATCCCTCCGGCTGCTCCCAGCCCACAGGAAAGGGCTTTTGGGCCACCATCCCTACCGCTGCTCCTGGCCCCTGTCCCACCTCTCCCAGCTCAGAGGAGGTAATCCGTGTAGGTGCTAACAGACCCCACCCCAGTCTAAATGAGAAAACATGTAAATAAGTCTCAAAACCAGACTTCCAGATCACCTACAGCAACCCCAAAGGGAAATGAGATGGAACACTCTGATACTCAACCACCTGGACCCACTGAACTGACAACAAAAGGGGATCTGGAAAACATGAAATCAGAAATAATTTCTCAGATAACAGGAGAGATTGTGCCCCTAGTGCAAGACATGATTAATAAATCTAGAGAGGAGCTGAGGAACATGATGGAATCCAAACATAGGAAACAAATGGAATCCATAAAACAGATGCAAATAGATTTCCAGGACATGAAATTTGAGTACCCTGTGGACCTTGACTCTTTGCCTATAGTAGTCCTTGTATCTACCAAAACTTAGTCATTTTTCTCCTGTGGCCATTCTCTAAAACTTATCATTATCTACAATATCTCTAATTGAAAGCCTGATAGCAAAATTCCCAGTTTCTCACCATCACTTCGTTTTCTTTTTTCTAATTCATTTACTGTATTACCATCCCAAACTAACTGTTCTCTGACTCTGCCTTGCTGTCCCTGTACACCACATTCCAGATTCACCTTCATATCCCATGCTATCTCTCTACACATAGTGTCCCAAAATTGGAGAACCCTCAATTTTGGATAATACAACATATTCTTATGCTGAATCCACACTGCTATAGCTAAACCTCACTAAAGCAAAGCCAGTGAGTCTTTCAGGGGTGTGAAATCTTAAGGAATTTATTTCACATCATCCACATTCCATATTTCAGGCCACTAACAGCTTCCTTCAAACCCTTTCTACAAAGATTGGAGAAGCAGCTTCTAAAAGAAACCCCTAACTCACCATTTTTCTGTTCAAGAATTTTGTACTTCTACTTGGTGTTGACTTCCCTGTCCTAACTTACAATCAATCTTCTCTACTAGTACATTTGCTCTTCACTTTTTTGTTCAGTTCCACTAGAATGTAAGCCACATAAAAGGGAGAGAATGTTTGCTTTGTTGCTACTGTATTCCTGAGCACCCAGCACAGTGGGTGGCACAGAGGAGATCTTTAATGAATACTCATTTTGTCACTAACCTTAGTGTAAAGGGAAAGTAAACATGTCCATGTCCAGGGGCTCAGATAGAAACACTGGTCATTCAGAGCAAACCCAAAAGCCTAGAGTCTGCAGCCAAAAGCTGGAAGCCTATTTAAAGCATAAAAGGGTAAGAACTAAAGACATGAAATAGCATTTTCACGAAGTTCCTGCAAAAAACTTAACCCTTATAAGAAGACCTGCATTAGTTTCTTTGGAATCATAATGCCTTACCCACAAATATTTGGCCAATTTGTCTATGGTTATTTAGCTACTCATTAGCCTTGAATTCATAACAATGAAAGGGAAGGACTTTAGAGACCATCCAGGCTGCCTCTTTCCTGCTTTATAGGTGAGAAGACATGGATGCCAGAGTCTCATGGCAGATTAATCCTTCATGTACAGAACACAGATAAGAACCCAGGTTTCCGGGTACCTTTTTCTTCATGATACTCTGTGAATGTCAAAACGTAAAGACTTCTAAAAGGAAACATTCCGAAAGAAAACTTTACATGTTGCTTATGAAGGTTGGAACTTTAATTTATAACAGAAATCATCACATTTTAGAGCTTTCCAAAGGGTCTATGCTTTTGAGAAAAAGTCTGTATTAGAGTCACATTATGAGAAAAAAATCTTTTTTACTTATTTTATATCCCAACTCTGATCACTGCACATTATGAGGTATTTCCAAATTCCATGAGTCATTCATAAATAGATATAAAACATTTGGTTTAGAATGATTTTTCCTCTCCTTGTAATTGCTCCTTTTCTTTTTCTCATGATTTACTTAGCTGTCTACTGCAAGCTCATGAAATGTCTTCTCCAACTCTCTCTTCACCAATGTAAACAGATGTTTTGCAATCATTTTAGAATGGGAGGGCACTTAAATGTTTTTGTCTCCTCAACTCCTTAGTGTTCGTGTATAAATGAATAATGGACTCAGATTCATTTGCGGTCAGGAATACGGTGGGATGGGTCTCATGGGGCTGTCTTCTAAGGAAATTCCATTTGGGCTCACTGGAGGCAGCTACAAAAAGATGGAGAACAGGTATGTTTGGGGCTCAGAGGGTCCATTAATTTTCCTCCTAAACTCTAACAAGGGGCAAAGGGAATTCCATTTTGGGATTTACAGTCTTCAGTCCTGACAAGTCCCAAGAGCGTCCCCACAGTCTGTTCAATGCTTTTTTCCCGGATGCCTACAGCAGATTCTAAATCCTCAGCAAAATTTGTTCTGATATTTTAAATTCAAAAACAGGCCTGAAAGTGGTATTAAGAAACTTACAGTCATCTGTAACTTTAGATGAGGGTACAGTCTTCAGGGATATTTATCCTATTCATAATGTCATATTGGAGTTAGATTTCACAGGCTTTTGACCCTCTTAAGTTGCCTTAATGCTTGAAGAAAAGATGTTTTTCCAACAAACACTGAACTAATTTGGCATAGTGCCCCAGTTAGAGACCTGAGAGTGAGAAGAGCTAAGTTTAAGACACAGTTCCTGCTCCTCACTCTGTGCAGTCTGCTCAAGTAACCAAATTTCCCTGTTTCCTGATCAATAAGACAAAGATGAAAACGCTCACCCACTTCTTTCACAGGATTGCTGAGAAGCTCATAGGCAAAAATCTCAAGTCACTTTAGAGGACTCTTTAGGTAAAAAGTTACACAAATGTCAACTGAAAGAAATGACCTGAATTATTAGCTCAAATATCATGTACTTATCTATTTCATATAACTTCATAGGTTTGGGGGTCACACAAGCAACAGTAGATCAGATAATCTGTAAAAAATGAGCAAGATTTCTATACCCAAAGAGGTAAAATCTTTGAAGAAGTAAAGCCCATGCTGGAAACAGTATTAAAACAATTTGAAGGTTAGATGTTTTTTAAAAAGGGCACAGATGGGGATTAGCAGAGAGGATGGAAGTTCATCCCAAAGAGGAGAAATGGAATACACAAAAACACTTTCGTTGACCTGAAATGCTACACTTAAGCACAGGGCATAGTCAAAGCATAAATGATTAAATTTTGAGTTCTGTTAAATAAATTTACAAAAGGGAAAAGAAAGGAAAAATAATTTTTATAGTGATGCTCTTCCTCCTATTATTCTTTTATGTAATAATTCAGTGATATATTAAAATTTACACATATTTTTACTCAATGATATGCAACATTTTCCTCAAAATTCCAGAGTTATAATAAGTCCATGGTAAAATGGGCTTCTTACCACACAGTTTGCTTTTTCAGAAAACCTCAAATTTATGTCAGCTCACTAAAATTTACTTTACTTGCTAACTGACAGGTAAGTAAATGAAAGATGAACTATGTGAAAATTCTTTACTGATACCACACAGGTCTTCTTCATTCTGATATAGGAACTAACTGTTCTTATGTCTTCATATTTCCAGTGGTAGCAGGATGTCTATAGAGTAATTTTTCAATAATGAATTGAACTGAACTCAATTAGGAAATTTGGAAATATGATAGAGATTTCTAATTTCCTGTCTACTCATCAACCATTCCTATCTTTTTGTTAATAGAATCCTGATTTCTTTGTGGGTAACAATGTATACAAATATTCAAACTCCTGTCTTTTCAATAAGGTATTAATGGAAGACACTGCTTGGACTTCTTAGTAATTTCTTTAAAAGAGAAAAAACTCACTGTTTTCTGTTTTCGTTTGTTTGTTTGTTTTTGACTTCTTGATCTTCTCTTTTCCCTTGTATCCTGCCTGAAATACAGGTGATTGTTGGTGAGAAAGTGGCTGTAGGAGGACCAGAAGGGTTAGTCACATAAGTATGACAAAATTGGAACTGGAAGCAACCTTTGTCTTCACTGTTTTCTTCAAATAACTGATCCAGCTTTGACATGCAGACTCTTAGACTTCTACTTCTAAAGGCCATTGTGAAAGATTTCATTACATAGAGATAAAAAGAGTCACATAGGTAAATTGTTTGGATCTATCTAGAGTAGTGATTCTCAAATGAGGAAGGATTTGGTGAAATGAGGAAGAATTTGTATGAAAGACTCTACCAGAATGATTTTTCACTTTCCTTACCACATCTGCTATGACCTCCAGAAAAAGGAATTACTTCCTCCTCTCACTAGGGTGAGAACTGCTGTCACAATGAGTCCCCATTGCTGCTGAGAATGTTGCATTCTTGGCTATGTTAAGGCACTCAGGAAGAAAGGTTAGAGAACTCCGCTCCAGAGAGGCCTATGAAAAATCATAAATCGAATGCTTGCAAGTCTTGAAAGTGCTGGAGTTGTTATGTATTCAGTCAGTTTGAAGGAAGCATGCCTGAAGCCTCTCAAAATGCATCCACCCAAAAAGTGCAAGATGCTTGTAATTTCAGTGAGGGGATTGGTAAAGTCAGGCTAAAAGGTTAGATAGCACTGACTGTTAGTGTTGGAGGATGCCTCAATGGCCAGCTAGTTGGATATCTTATATAAGGCAAAACTTGACCTCTGTCACATTGTTCAGAGATATCATCAAATTGTTGCTTGAATACTCCCACTGATCAGTACCTGTTGAATTCGTAAAGCAATCCATTGCACTGTGGAAAACATTTGGTAACTGGAAAGTCTTTCTTTACCATGAACTTAATGTGATTGTATCTTATTACTATATACCATTTCTATCATACTTTATTTATTTAAAGAGACCTGATGTTCAGCATTGAATTAATAGTCATTAAATCATATAAGTCATTTTGAAACAGTAGTTTTATCTGTTTCTGAGCATTTGTAGACCTGGTCAGAGAGATTATGTACATTTGTGTGAAAATTCTTAGGTGGAGCACTAGACTTGAACTCAGAGCTATTGACTTTGATCAAGCAGTCTTTCAAACTGTTATAATTTATTCATTCAAAGATGGTTTGCTGAGCCTTTACTATCTACTGGTCACTGTGTTAAGTACAGAAGGAATGGTACACACATATTCCTGGCCCCCCTAGATCAAATAATTTAATAATTGTCTATCCATGAGTCCTCTTTTTAGCTATTAATAGAACACAAAGAAGTCAATCCTTCCTCAATCATTTGACTATCATATTACTTCACAGGTGTCTTTTCTAAAGACAAAACATGTCCCATTCTTTCAACAGCTCCTCCCAGGCAGGGATTTTGGAGTTTTCCAACATCTTTATCACTTTTCTTAGGAACCTTCTATTTTGTCAAGTCTCTTCCTCAAGAAATTGCACCCCAAATCACACACCCCTGCTTCCAGGATGGCCCGGTGAGTGTATGATGCACAGAAATTCCTTCCCCACATGACTAAAAGGTTAAATTACTATGAATGTATCTGAGTTCATCAGGATTAGTTTCTCATGGCAATGTTGTCTCATGCTCATTTATGGTTAACTAAAAACAGAAGAGCACCTTCTTATGGCTTACACTTACATGCTGGGATTTAGTGCATTCCTATTAAATTTTACCTCCTTATCTACATCATTATTAAATCTTTTGAGACCTTCTTTGTCTTAATTCGGTCATTTGTAAGGTTAACTCTTTCCCAGTCTCACATTATGAACAAATTAAATAATTGTGTGCTCCATGTTACTGATAAAAACGTTAATCTGAACAAATTCAAAGACAAAACCCAATAATACTTTATGTAGACAAGATAGTCTTAACCTGTTAACCCTGTTAACCTACAACACTATGCACTCATTTATGCCACAAATAATAATAAGTGCCTAATTCTGGGCTAGATGCTGAGATGAAAAATGAAACCATGTGAGTTAGCAAGTTGGGGCATGCAACGTGTCATCAGGTGACTGCAGCATGGCAGGTGCTCCACCTGTGAGAAGTAAGGAGGGCACGTAATAGGGTGCTATCAGCTCAGCCCACCATCAGGTAGAACCTCAGATGGCATCCGGACCCATGGAATGATAAAGGACTTGGCAGAAATTTCCTGAATCCACTAGGAGTTAAAGAAACAGATTAGCACTTTCCCAAAGTGCTATAATATATCCAAACTCTGAAGTGATATAATATATCATGACTTGATTCATTTTGAATCTTATCAATCCTTTAGATCTACTCTGAAGCTGAGTAGTGAACTTTCATGATGCTGTTAATCTTCTATGACACAAGCATTTTAAGGCCCTCTAAATTACTTGGTTACCGGCTAATTTTGCCTGAACCTACTTTTCTAGTCCCTAAAGATTTGGTAGATGAAGTTACACTGATATATCACTATTAGGTATTATAAAAGTAGGCAAAACAATGAGCAAGAACTAGGCCATCAAAGGAACCGACAGTCCATTGGGGGAGGTAGACCTGCATGTGTAAAATACAAGGAAGTGCCCCTTCCGTTTTCTTTTTGATGGACAAGCACTTTGTGAGGAGCTGGCCCTTATGTGTGCAGTGCTAGAACAGCCAGTTAATTGAGCCTTTAAAAAGTCACTACACTGGGAAGAAAAAACAATACTATGACATTGGTTATTGTCCTCTCTCCTATAACAAAAGACAAATTATTTTTTATGTTTTAAATGGGTTTGTTGTTAAAACACACAGCCCAAACAATTTACCACAAAATGTTTATCTAATGTATTCCATATCTTTGCATTTAAATCTTCAAAGACTTATTTATTCAGGAATTTAACCACTGTACCTACCTGGCAATGCAAGGTCCTGAGTTTGATTCCCAGTACCAGAAAAAACAAAACAAAACAAAACACAGATAGACTTTTTTAACCAAAGATTTGGTAACTTTTCTAAAACAAAAGAGAAAAGTTATATCTCTTATTTTGGCATTAATATTCAGATACATTGCTTTACTTTTCACTAAAGAAAATTCAGACAGTTGATGTTTCTTCATCAAAATAACTAGTTTTATGAATAAAAAGTATAAAATTAAGAAGTTGTGCTGTCACCTTTAGCAAAATGACTCATCAAAAGAATCTTTTCCTTTTTCTTGTAAGAGAAAATTTAATCTCTATTTTAGGATTGAAAATAAATTTTTTTAATGGAGAAAATCAGTTTGCATAATGGGATCATCTATTCAGGTTTAAAAGGAAAGTGTAAGTTCTCTGCCTGCCCATTAGATTCAGCCTGGTTCTACCATCAGCATTTTCTTTTATCTTTCTTGCAAAGATATTCTTTTGCAGTTGGCAATCAGAAAAGCCTGCATTTCACAATCTCAAAAGTGCCTTATTTTCTCAGGATGCAGACAGTAGTAACACAGAGAGCAGCTGAAGGGGTTAACATTGAGACTTGGCTGGGTGTCAGTTAAACTTTTTTCTCTGGCTCTGCCCTGGGTTTCCCCTTGAAGGGATTTCCCTCCGCCCCTACAACAGGACCCTTTATAAAGAACGGACTTTCTATTTCACTCACACTAGCCTTTCTGGCTTTAGGAGCTGAAGACTCTTCCCAGGCACTTTCAGGTGGGACAGAAATAAGGCTTTGGAACCAGTATTTTCTCATCACAGAAGGAACTTTAAAATGCCTGGGAAGATAGCCATGATCTTTGGAGTTTCAAATATACTTTGGATAGTGTTTGCGGCCTGTAAGTTCTTCTTGATCTATTCCAAATGTTAACATTCCATTTAGCCCTGCTTTTAGCTTTAGTCAGTTCTCCTGTGGTGGTGGAGAAAGGAACTAGGATTTTAAACAATAGGGAAATTTTAATTTCACCAACCTTTTAATGTGCTATTGAGCTTTGCTATATACCACTATGCTGTCATACTTAGAGCTGCAAATTAATGTTTTTAATACCTTTTTTCCAATGTCAAATGAGTAATTTGGATTCTATCTTAGTAGGTCTGTCTGTTTAGTTTCCTGTACTTGATAATGAGGTCAAACTTTGCAAATAACAAAATAACTTTGATGAATAGGCATCAAGACAGGAACTGAGAGTTCCCATAAGTGAAGGTGATTCTGACACCTCCTTTGGCAGGGACTTCAGTGCTTTTTGGCCATGGTGGAAATAGTCAGAAGCTATTTAGGAAAAGGTCATCTGGGCTATACTTTGGATGTTTTACTGGAACAGAGAAGAGGGAGTAAGACACCAGACCAACCAGTGGTAAATTTGCTTCTCTCTTTTTTGCTGTTGCAGCTCAGGCTTTTAAAATTGAGACCTCCCCAGAATCCCGGATTCTTGCTCAGATAGGTGACTCCATCTCACTGACTTGCAGCACCACAGGCTGCGAGTCCCCATCTTTCTCTTGGAGAACGCAGATAGACAGTCCGCTGAATGCCAAGGTGAGGAATGAAGGCACCAAGTCCACGCTGACCATGGATCCCGTTAGTTTCGAGAATGAACACTCCTATCTGTGCACAGCAACTTGCGGATCCAGGAAGGAGGAAAAAGAAATACAGGTGGATGTCTACTGTAAGTGACTTAAAGAATCTTTGATTTTCTCTCAATTTTGCTTTAAAATAGCTTTTTAAAGATATATTTTAAAGAAAGCTTTTAAAATGATATTCACGTCCAGAATCTTGGCTACAAAACATATGGCAACAAGAAAGTTTGAGACTGATGAGGCTAGCACTAACACAAGTTTTGGCTTTTATTTCCATCTCAGTCACAAATATGGTAACAAGATTCTACCTCTATGTGCCCCAACTTCCTTAGCTATAAAAATGAAAATCTCTAAGGTTCATTTTTCCCCCAAAATTTCCGTTTGATTATATCCATACATGTTTACTTGCTCATGCATCTAAGTGATTCATGAATTGTATCCCACAGAGATTTTCCATTCATTTATTCTGATGCAATTTGAAGCTTTTAAAATCAGTTTAAAGATTCAGTAGATCTATCATTTAGTAATAGGTTTCAGTATAAAAGTTTTCTCCTTAGATATAATAAAAAATACATCTAAACATTTCACTCATTTGGCCTTTATGTCAATAAATTTAGGAATTTTGTTGCCATGAAACCTGGGTGCTCAGGCTCAAAGGTATTTTTATAATGAATTAGGTTTGCTTCATGAATGTATGTCTCTAGTTTACCAGCCTACCAAAAATGCATTCCAATCCACTTTCAAGTCAGTAAATAAAGTTAGTAAAAGGAGTAACAAAACTAACCTTATGTAAATCATTTGAGTTTGGTTTCTGATGGCCTCTTTTTTTTTTCTAAAAAACTGTACTCATACATTGTACTCATATATAGTAATTTCTTCATGAAGACCTTATTTGATGATCTGATAATTAAATTGGTTTCTTTTTACTGTACTGTATTCCAGCTTTGCCCAGTAACCTCAATTGAAATTTCAACAAGCCCTATGTGTTGTTAAAGCTTCCCAGGAAACTGTGCCAGAAAAGCTGCTTTCAATTATGCTGCTTGTACACACATACTTTATGTCTGTCCAGCCTCCTGAGTGCCTTGAAAGGTCTTATGTAAATACAAGGAAAAGTAGAAAGTTCTTATATTACCTGCCATAAAACCGAGTGGACTACAGGCACCTTTCTTACAGAATATAAGGGAAAGAAATAACTGTTGGAAAATTAAAAATACTATATTTTCAGATAACAAACTGTTCCTTTGTCTTTTGCCTGCCAGTAGCAGTTAAAGATTTTAGAAAAAGAGAAATAAGGACACTTCTGGCTTTAATTATCCTGCCAGGGGTTTTCTCCAAGAATGTCTCTTTCTCATTATGTTTAACAATTCTGTCTTCATTCCATATTTGATTATAATATTCTTTGAACCTTTATTTCCTTCTTATTACACAAAGTCTCAAATCCACCTAAGTGTTACCATGATGACAGACTACAATAAGAAAGGTAACCCTTACAAACAGGCAAGGAAATTGTGTGTTCCATACTAGGAGGGTCAGTGCAGTACTGGTTGGGTTAGATTGAGTTAGATTTTACAAGACGAAAATCTCAAATTGAAGGATTGTACAAGTATATATTTCTGGTGGATAAATTCCTGTCATAGGCTCCATTTTCAGAAGCCAACTACTTCAAGTTACTCTTTTTATTTCTTAGCATATCTTTTACAACAACTCTTCTTTTTTTTTTACAACAACTCTTCTTGAAATGATATTCTGAGCTTTGAATTTCTTATATGTAAAATAGATCTATATATGCTCTGACTAAAATAAGAGAATATGATATAATATTAATCTTCAGTAACAATATAAAATAATACATAAATCCTAAGTTTAAATGCCAGCTTTAACATTAGTAGTTGTGTGACCTTAGGCAAATTATACAGATGGACCAAGTTCAATCTTTAATCATCTGTGAAATATATTCTCTATTTCTTAGGATTATAGTGAGGATGAAACACAATCATTTATGTTGAATCTATAGCACAGAAACAGGCACCTATAAGTTTCAACAAACATTAGAGTTATTTTCTCCCTTCTTTTACTCTAATAAGTTACAAACTTTTATACAGGGTCACAACTGAAGATTCCTCTTGATGGTTCATTCTGATTCTTGCTTCTAGAATCCACCCCAAACCATAGAAACCATTAAATGATTTGTTATGCCACATTAAGACCCCTTTAACGAAACATTACATTTGATTTGCATTGCATTAAAACAGTAAAAGATCTTATGAACATGAACAGAAAGTCCACTCATGATTTGTTTGACTTTGCAGCTTTTCCCAAGGATCCAGAGATTCATTTCAGTGGCCTTCTGGAGGTCGGAAAGCCCATCATAGTCAAGTGTCTGGTCCCTGATGTGTACCCATTTGACAGGCTGGAGATGGAGTTACTGAAGGGTGACTCCCATCTGAAGAATCAGGAATTTCTGGAAGATATGGACAAGAAGTCCTTGGAAACCAAGAGTCTTGAAGTAACCTTTACTCCTACCATTGAAGATATTGGAAAAGCACTCATTTGCCGAGCTAAATTGCACATTACTGAAACTGATTCTGAAGAATCAAATCCCAAAGAAAAGGAGACTAACAAAGAACTGCAAGTCTACAGTAAGTAGTTGGGTGATGTGGTCTACTCTTTATATGAATTCAAACTTGTATGTATAGCACAACAAATTTAACAACTAGGTCAACAATAAAACTGTAGTTTTTAATCCATTTTTATTTATTGAAAACATATTTTTCCAGTAGTATAATTCAGTGAAAAGAACAATGGATTTGGACCAAGAAGACTTGATCTTAATTTCTGGCTCTGTTAACTGTGTGACCTTGAGTTACTGGATTTCTCTATTTCTCTGTCAAAGAGGAAACAGTGTTACTACCTGATTGGGTCGTAGGAAATAGGCTTACATGATAAAATACTTTTAATCATGCTTTGTAAAGGCTCCTATAATAGGCCTTGAAACACTGGTTGCATAGATATAGAAACTTGACAAGATGAGCACTTATCCTGTGTGTGTGTGTGTGTGTGTGTGTTGTGTACACCTATGCTCGCACATGCATACGTGCATTGGCTGGAGACAATGGGATGAGGCTTGATTGCTTCTACCTCTTTGAGAGTGCCAGGGGACTTGAAGCAGTCTTGTTGTCCTAGGATTGTGTCCAAATGGACTCACCCTGCTCTATCTGAGACTAAAATGCTATGTTCTGTTATATTTAAAAGGATTCTCATCAACTATTTCATGTTTAGCCAAAAGAAAATGTGCTAGATTTCAACAATATTTTGAAAGAAACAGTCGAGATAGGCTATATTTTTCCCCAGAGAATACAAAACTTGGAAAAGAGAGCTGTAATTAAATATTTGAAAGATAGTTGTATGTGAAAGATTTATTTTGTAACATCAGAGAACTATACTATGACCAGTATGTAAAAATTAGTTACAAAGAGGAAGATTTCACTGTTGAGTTGAAATAGGAGAAATTTTTCTAATAATTATAGATGTTCAAAAATCAAGTTGACAGCTGGGCATAGTGGTGCACACTTGTAATCCCAGCATTCAGGAGGCTGAGGCAGGATGATTGCCCAGAGCTCAAGGCCAGCCTGCACTACAAAGTGAGACCCTGTCTCAAAAACAAACAAAATCAAGTTCACTGTTTTGTAAGGCAATGAGTTGCATCTTTCAGAAAATATTGATGCCAACTTGGATGAGGTCTTTGTAAGATTCCTAGGTAGGAGATTAAGCCACATGACTCTAAGGGCCCTTCCTAATTTCTGAATATTTACAACCATCTGAAAACATCCAACATCAAAAAAGATAAATTAATCAGAAGCTAAACTGACCATTTTTATAATGACTCAGCAGTCCTTTATACTAACTTGGCAGAATAAGTTTGAAGAATATTATCTCTGTTGGGTTGAGATGATGCTGAAAGATTGCTAACATTATACTATACCCTGCCTTTTCAGTCTCACCCAAGAACACAGCTATCTCTGTGCAACCCTCCACGAGGCTGCAAGAGGGTGACTCTGTGACTCTGACGTGTTCCAGTGAGGGTCTACCAGCTCCTGAGAGTGTCTGGAGCAAGAAATTAGACAATGGGAATCTACAGCTTCTTTCAGGGAATGCAACTCTCACATTAATTGCCATGAAAATGGAAGATTCTGGAATTTATGTCTGTGAAGGAGTCAATCAGATTGGGAGAAACAGAAAAGAGGTGGAATTAATTGTTCAAGGTGAGAAGAATGTGAAAAAAAGAATGATAAAGGTGTTGTCATGGGGATTTGAGTGAAAATGACAGCATCAATGCTGAAATTCCTTCTCTGCATATTATTGATGATTCATTTGTTTGTCATGTGCTTTAACACAAATATATACTTATTATACTCATACTTTTTGGAAGTCTCTTCTCCTAGTGCTTTCATGGCTCTGCTTTTTGGATTAGTTTTTAGCTTACATCATTTCTTGACTTCCTTACTCTTTGGTTTCCCTCTTCCTCCTGTCCTGTGATTATTGACATGTTTCAGTTTACTGCATCTAGCATGCAATACTCTTTTTTCTCAGTCAGGATGGTCAAGAATCAGACTGTTATTTTCTAGTTATTCCCAAATACATGCTTCCATTCTATATCACCAAATCTGTTAGTTGTTCCTCAAAATGATACCTGGAATCTGACCTTTTCTTCAACCTTCTTGTTGTTGCCTTATATTATCCTCTCTCACTTGGGCTTTTGAAGGATGGTCTTAAATAGTAGCATTCATTGAATACCTGCTATGTTTCTGACATTTTATATAAGCTATCTATAATCTTTAAGAAATAATAACTAAGAGGTATTTTATATCCATCTTACAGGTGACAGAATGGAGTCTCACAAAGATTAATGATGGTATCATCTATTGATCGTATACTTATTATTTACTAGGAGTTATATATTCTATTTCAAAGATATTATTTCAATCTTTATCATAACTCTTTAAGGTAGATAGAAACTCAGGCTCAACATAGTTCATAATTTCTCAGGTCAAACAGCATTTACAGGCTCATTTTCATCTAAAACTTTATGCCTTTTCAATTGTACCTCATTGTCTATTTTTAATTTTTAATTAATATTTTAAATTGACTAATCATAATGTATACATGTACAAAATACAATGTGATGCTTTGGTATATTCATAAAATATAGGATGGTTAAATCAAGCTAATTAACATATCCATCATCTCACATCACTTTTTGTAACAAGACATTTCAAATTTATTCTCTTAGTTATTTTAAAATATAAAATATACTTTAAAAATTAACTATAGTCACTCTACTGTGTAACATAGTTCAAAAACTTATTTCTCCTAACTGAAAATATACTTTTTAGCCAAAAACTTCCTATTTTCTTCTTGGCCTACCCCAGCCTCTGGTAACCACCATTCTACTCTCTACTGTGACTTTGATGTTTTTAGGTTACACATGTTAGTGAGATCGTGTAGTATCTGTCTTTCTGTGTAGGGCTTATTGCACTTATTCTAATATCCTCCAGGTTCATCCATTTTCTCCCAAGTGGCACAATAACCCCTTTTTCTAAAGGCTCAATAGTATTCCATTGTGTTTATAGCTAGTTGCTTTAGGTGACCTCCCTGCTGTCATTATGTTCCCAAGATAATCTATCCTACCCACTGGTATCATAGTTAATTACCTGAAACAAAAAAAGTGCTCATTTCTTACAACTCTAGCCATATTTCTTAAAATTGTCACATATAACTGCCCAATCTGGTTGGAAACTACCTTTGCAGCTTTGTGGTGCTCTGTGCCTTGTTCATGGTGTTCTCCTACATAGAATGGCCTTTCCCCTGCCTGCAGCTGCCCAAGTCCTAGCCATCCTTCAGGACAAAGATTCTGTAAGCTTCCCAGTTCCAGACTGTGTCAGGCAAAGGTATTTGCTCCCTCCTTCATGTACACTCAATAATTCTTATAGCCATGTATGCATTTCTGTACAGTTCTACACACACTAATTAGAGCTTTTCTCCAAGAATCCAAGGATCTATCTGGTGCAGGCATACAGATATGAAAAACACAGAGCAGCTGCCCTGTGGAAGCTTACAAACTAGGAAGGAAAGAAGGGCATGTAATTTAGTAAGAGCCAAAATAGGCTAAAAATAATCTATTTAAATGTGTCACTCCACTAACCTGTAAGGTCCTTAAAGTCAGGAACTGGCTGTATATTTGTGTATGTCTGTGTGAGTGTGTGTGCACGTATGTGTGCACACATGCACATGCTTTAATGTTTGGGTACCTAGCATAGCACCTGACTGACACAGTAGGTTTTCAGTAAATGTTTGTTGAATACATGAATAAATTGTAAATATAGGCTACACAAATTTTTAAAATATGAGAATGTGAAGTTTAATCTTAGATGATCAAAAAAATTAAATTCAAACTCACCATCAGTAAACTAACTCAATTGGATATTAGGTTAGCATTTGCAAATGACCAGAAGAGTTATTATACTAATAAAAAGTATGTAAAGCCAATCATCCTGGAATTGTTCTATCCCATCATAAACTCCATTCCATTTCAATGCAGAAAGGAAATGTATTATGGGATTGGAAAGGTTGTTTTGTATTTTGTATCAGATGAGATAATAACAATCTTAAATATTGAAGATACAATTGAACCTTCAAAGACCTTTTAGCTTCCTAAAAGAGTTCCTCCCCAAGAAGCTACAGTAAAATATGTAGCCAGGACTGCTCACAGGCAGGAAGCTGATCTACTTTAAAAGTTCCTCATTCTCATGCTAGCTTGTAAAAGAAATCAGAAATTCTCCTTATTGTTATGGAGGATCTCTCTTTAAAGTATGATATTATATGAGTTTGAGATAATTAAAGGAGAGTCTCTTTTGAAAAATACTGAGATGTCACAATTACACAAACTAAATCAAGAAAAGTAACTTTTTCTGGCACAGATGAGAACCATGAAAAACATATCATTGGATAATTTGTGTGTTGAAATTTCTCCCATCTCCTACCTACTATTTACAAAGAAGACTTTTAGTGATCATCTGTCACTTTCAAGTGACAACTTTCAAGTGCCCAACTGCTCCCAGTTTCTTCTGGGGACTAAAGTCAAGACTTGGAATTCACTTTCTCTCAAAATAGCAGCCACTCAATCAAAACCTGTGCACATGAGTACTTCAGACTTAGGAGTTTGATCTCACCCTTCAGCTTTAACCCCCTGAGATAATTGCAAAGTATTTTTATACTGCATCAAACAAATTCTAGATATAATCATGTTATTATGTTAAGGCTTAAAAGTTTTACTTTGCTTTAGGTGTGACTCTCAAAGATAGAACTTTATATTGTTGGAACAGAAGTTCTAAGCACTGGTCCATCATTGATATTGTATCTAATTAGATTACATTTTTGGGTAGTTTATTTCTAGAACCTCCTTTAGGTCTTGTTTTACCTCTTCATGAGGATGACCTGATTTAGTAGTTTGAGCAACAGAAAAGCTGTTATCTTTAATCAGACATACCTTGCATCAAGTCTTAAATTTTGCCACATGTAAGCTGAGTAAAGTTAACACTTGTGAGCTTAAATTTCTTCTAGGAGATTTAAGATTATGGCACATGATATATTAACTATTGTTATTCTCTAATTATTTTGTTATGAAATTTTGTTTTATTTTTCACAGAAGAGTGATTTTTATATTTCATTTATTAATATCTACATGTATTACATAAAAATAAAAAAATTTCCTATAGGAGAAAGAAGAGGAGAGAAGAGAAAAAGAAAGAATAAAAGCAGAAGGAAAATGAGAAATCAGAGTAAATAATAGTACCAGTTCAGCAATCATTGTGAGAATTAAATGAGATAATACATATGGAAGTCGTGTTCCTAATGCTTGACACATAGGAACAATGGGAATTATTTGATCTATTATCCTCTATTACAATGATCTGACAAAATCAGAGCAGGAATTGGATCATTGCCAGGAAAAAAAAGCCAATCACTGTCTTGACAAATTTTTATCTACATTTATTCTGACCATCTGATTTGAGAAACTCTTATAGATTTTTCCTTAAACAATGTGGTCTTATTTTGATGCCTCCAAAGTGAAAAGGAATAATTTCTTCTTGGCCCAAATAGCTGAAAGGAGATCAGGAAAAATAATGATCACATAAGAAAATATGATGAAAGAAGAAATGACTTTTATCTGATATTTCTCTTGTTCACTTTTTCTCTTCAGAGAAACCATTTACTGTCGACATCTCCCCTGGACACCAGGTTGCTGCCCAGGTTGGGGACTCAATTGTGTTGACATGTAGTGTCACAGATTGTGAGTCCCCATCTTTCTCTTGGAGAACCCAGAGAAACAGCTCTCTGAGTGGGATGGTGCGGATTGTGAGGACTGAGTCCACAGTGAACTTGAGCTCTGTGAGTTTAGAGAACGAAGATCAATACCTATGCACAGTGACATGTGGACACAGAAAAGTGGAAAAGGAAATCCAGGTGGAGCTCTACTGTAAGTGGTTTTCAAAGTTATTATCATTTTTTTTTTCAAAAGAATGTGAATTTGTGGTAAGCAGTGAGATCCATTTGCTTAGAAAGGGGATGTAGCATTGTGAATGGTTCCTCAATCACTGAACCAAATAGTTTGATTCAACATAAATGCTCTAAATCTCTTTTGGTACCAGGGATTGAACTCAGGTCCTTGTGCTTGCGCAGCAGGCAGCAAAACCACTGAGCTAAATCCCTGGCTAAATACTCTAAATCTTAAGTCCATGTTACATATATACACAGCAGGCACAATCCTTAGTTTGTTTCTCATCAGGACTCTCTTATCATGCATTTGATCACACTCCATGCTCCATGGTTCCTATCCCTTCTACCTGTACATGAGGTGTACGGAAGTGGTGAGAACAGTGGAGGTCAATGCCCATCAAATAACTGGACAGGGTACTTTACCATTCACCTATCCAACTGATGGTGCAGCCAGAGCCCACCTTTTAGAAGCACATTTGGACAGCTGATCTGAAAGATCGGGGTGGGGGGATGAGACAACTGGAACCAACTGGAAACCAAAAAAGGAGACAGGGAGTAGATTGGAGATGGGGTTGGTCAGTACCAGTAGATCAGGTTTCTGCCCAGGTAGAATCGGGAGCAACACCAAATCTTAATATTGATTTAGGCTGAAAGCACATATTACATACTTCTTGCTCTTCTTGCCAGTGAGAAAAAAAGAGCCTCTACAACCTCAAATCTCAGTGAATTTGATATTGCTGAGTTCCTTGGTCTATAATGAATGTGGAACAAAATATGCAAAGTGATCATGAGATTATTTTTTCTAGGTAGTATCTCTGCCTTGTCTTATTCAGTGAACTCAAGAGAACATTTTGTAAAGATTTCCCACCAGAAACCCTGCCTGAACTTATGTTACATTTCAGGATTAAGTTCAGAACAAGATTATGACTGTAAAGGGGTTTAAATCTCTCAAAAGAAGGGTAAACTTAATGTTTATTATATTACCCAGAGTTCTGGACCTGATGATATAGGTACATTCCCAATGGAAATTAGAAGCAGTGGTGAAATCTTATCACAATATGGAAATATTTGAGAATCACAATTTAGCATTAAATTATTATAAATTTAATTGTGTTAAATAAATCACAATTTAACATTTTGCTTAAGGAAAAAAAATTACCTTTGATAATTATTTGAGCCTCATTTATTGGTTTGCAAATATATAGTATAGGTGTTATTATCTGAGGCGAGATCAAATTATAAGTTGAATGTTTAGATTTAAAAAATTTTATTACAGTAAAAGAAATATTGCCATTATTGCCACTTAAAATACTCCCCCTTACTTTGAACACACATCCTATTGTTCTTTCCACTTTCTGAAGCAATTCTGGAAATCCTCTTTCATGAATATCTTTAGTTGCACTGTCATGGCTGCCTTGATGTCTCAAATCCATTCAAAACATTTACCTTTCATGGTCATTTTGACTTTGGGAAAGAGTCAGAAAACACATGGTGCCAGATCCAGTGAATACGGTAGGCAGATATACACCATAATATTTTTACAAGACTGCCTGTTGGGTAGCACTTGGCAGCAACATTCACTATAATTTTTATCACACTTCATAAAGACACTAAAGAAGACTTTAGGAACTGCTTCTGAAAGTGGCAAGAACAATGGGATAAGTGTGCTCAAAACTGGGGGGATATTTTGAGGGGAAGTAACAGCACTGTCTTTCACTGTAATAAAGCTTTTAAAAATATAAACATTCTCTGTATATTTTTATCATCCTTTGTATAGATTAGATTCTAAATAATTGGATTCTAAATAATATAGTTAAGACAGTTCTTTTCTTGATTAAAAATATTATCTGAGAAATATTTAAGACTTGCTCTCTAAATTTCAACATTAGATATTAAACTACCTACATTGAGAATGCCTTTGTGTGTGCTTGAGATCAAGGGGCTGCACAGCCCCATGAAACCAAGCCCAGATTTTGAGGTTAAAAAAACAGATATTGTGAGCTCAGCTCAGTGACTTACTAGTTATGATGTGCAATGAAAATTCTCTCAGCCTCTGTAAATTTCAGTTGTCTTAACTATAAAATAAGTCAAATAATGCCCATTTTATCAGACATTATTGAATTGAGATAATGAATGTTAGGGAACTAATTTATGCTAAGTATTTAATAAATCATGAAAAATATTTAAGTTATTTAAAATACATAGTTTATAAATAAGACAGTAGAAGCTGACATGTCCTTAGAAAAGATCAGGCCATGTGTTCAGCAAGATGATATCATTAGAAGGGAAAAATAAAAAGTAAGAGCATTTTTTACACGATGATTTAATGTACTAAGTATTTTTTATTTCCAACAGAATTATAATTAATTTTACAATTATGTATTTATACTTAATGGCATTATTTATGTATTGATCGTTCTATCCTAGCTGGTAAAGCTGTCATTTTGAGACCTTTGCATTTAAGAATTTAGCTCACTTTTTCCTCATGTCATACATAAATGTCATTTTTGTTTGATATTTGCAGCATTCCCTCAAGATCCAGAAATTGAGATGAGTGATCTACTAGTGAGTGGGAATCCTGTCACTGTAAGCTGCAAGGTTCCTTTTGTGTATCCTTTTGACCACTTGGAGATTGAAATACGTAAAGGAGAAACTCTTATGGTGAATAAATACTTTTCAGAGGAAATGGACATAAAATCCCTAAAGAACCACAGTTTGGAAATGACCTTCACTCCCACCACTGAAGATACTGGAAATGTGCTTGTTTGTCAAGCGAAGTTACATATTGGTGAAATGGAATCTGAACCCAAACAAAGGCAGAGTACACAGACACTTTATGTCAATGGTAAGTACATGCGTGATGTACCCACAGATTAATATGGATTTCTTTATCATGTTTACCAGGCAATAGTTAACATAAGGTTAATAGTTAAAACCTCTGTGAAAAAAATAAATGAAAAGAAAATTTAAAATAATTGATTATTATAGCTCCCCATGTAAAATAAATTATGATTCTATGAGTTGGCATTAGGGGACAAGCTAGTTGCCCAGTGTGGTATCAGCTGAGCTCACTCATGCATTCTCATTCAGGGGGTCTTCAGGGCTGGCTGGTCTCAGATGGATCATTCATATGACTGGCATATCCAGGTCCTTCTTTCTTCACATGGTGTCATCCTCACAAATTAGCCTAGGGTTACTCTCCAGAGCACAGCATTTCAAGAAGGTGATAATAGAAGTAGCCTCTTAAAGGCCTGAGTTTGGGAGGTCAATAGTGTTACTTTGTCCACCTTCCATTAGTCAAAGTGAGTTACAAATCTGGCCCAGACTCAAGGAGAGAAAAATAGACTCCACTTTTTCATAGAAGGGATTCAAATAAGTTTTGGTCATGTTTAATGGACCGTAAATGGTGATACAAATGATCATGGCTCATCCATGCTTTGTTAGCAAGAGTTTCTATAAGATTTACTTCCATTAGAGAATATCAGTGCTTTTGTCCATGTCATTCTGCATCTGCTGAAATAAATGGTGTCAGAAACCCAAGATTTATAACTATTCCACTGAATCCAAAGCCTAGTTTTGCAATATTACTGAAACTTGTTGGAAGTCAGGGTATAAAGTGTCAAGCTAATAAGTGCCTCTATCATTTTAGTTGCCCCCACAGATACCACTGTCTTGTTCAACCCCTCCTCTATCTTAGAGGAAGGCAGTTCTGTGAATATGACATGCAGTAGTAACGGCATTCCAGCTCCAAAAATCCTGTGGAGCAGACAGCTCAGTAATGGAGATCTACAGCTTCTTTCTGAGACTACCACACTCACCTTAATTTCCACAAAAATGGAAGATTCTGGCATTTATGTGTGTGAAGGGATTAACCAGGCTGGAATAAGCAGAAAAAAAGTTGAACTAACTATCCAAGGTAAGCAGAGTATGACTTTAAATTATTATTGCTAGTATTTTTTTGGTTGTGTTAGTTATGAAAAAGGTCTACTCTGAAAACAATATTTTTGCTTTAAAAATGTATTGAGGGTTCTTAAAAAGTTCACAATGTTTCCTATGCATGAAGAGCTCCTGCTTGAACCAAACCAAGTCACTTACGCTGAAATTCTTTTAACCTCAAGTGAAACACTAGCTCCAGGAACTGTACCAAGAGTTCTAGTGATTATGAGACCATGGTTATAGTGTTGAAATAAGGACAGGAAGCGGTATATATGTACTTGCATATTATTTAGTATTAAAACCATATGGGGCTGAAATAGACACTGAGGAGCAATCTCACAAGATGACTGCTGGTACTTGCTTAGAAGTCTAAGAAGCCTAGGCGGATTTTGTAAATTTTGATGTTTAAGAATAGCAGCGACTATGTATGCCCTCTTGTTCATCAGTCTGGTGGTATGGAACTGCCAGAATGGATTAAGCCATCAGATATATGCCTCTCCTCGAGGACAGAGACCCCAAAACTGACAACAAAACAATTTCTACTTGGCACATTGAAGACACAGACAGTTATGAGCACAGTTGTGAAGTGATTGATTTGGTTTATACCCCATTCCTTCCCTTTGGGCCATTAGGGTTACTTTCTTCACCAAGGCTCTCATTTCCTCTTGTACCCCTTGATATTACTCCCACTAAATTATGTGTGATTTATTGTGACCTCATGTCAATGAGATTTGTATTTTAAAAGAAAGATCTTGGAAGGGAAATGTACAACCTTAAAGAAAACCTTTAGGTTGAATGTCATGGCACTTTGGCCTTGAACAAATAGTCTCAAATGAAGTCACAAAATTGATGACTTTAACAGGAATCTCAATTATAAAAAAAGATAGAATACTTCTCTCCAAGATTTGTTACATTAATGAAGGTGTATGTCAAGTATTTAGTCCAGTTCTTAGAACCTGATAAATAGTAGTTGTGTTGTTAGGGCAGTAACATCTATTTACAACTTAAGTTCTTGATCTAGGAGGATCTAGCTCTCTGTGAAACACCATTATTTGTGCTAGGCTGGGTAAAGAAGTATATTAAAGGAAATGAAAGAAGCATATCTTCTCTTGTTTAGAACATGACCATTCATGACAAACTAGTAAATGCTTGACTTATTTTTTTCCATTAAAATTTTTGGTACATTTTTCTTGCCTTTAGCATTTCATGTGAACAGTAAATGCAAATAGCAGCGACTGTTGATGTCATTACATTAATATGAAATTAGTTTGTATTTCTTTTTTTCTTTTCTTTTTTTTTTTTTTTTTGGTACCAGGGATTGAAGATTGAACTTGGGATCTTGCGTTTGCAAGGCAGGCGGCAAAACCACTGAGCTAAATCCCTGGCCTTAGTTTGTATTTCATTTAATCAGAGGTACTTTTAAAATTCTCTTTTCAGTTGCTCCAAAAGACATACAACTTACAGCTTTTCCTTCTGAGAGTGTCAAGGAAGGAGACATGGTCATTATCTCTTGTACATGTGGAAATGTTCCAGAAACTTGGATAATTCTGAAGAAAAAAACAGAGATGGGAGACACAGTGCTAAAGTCTATAGATGGTGCATACACCATCCACAAGGTGCAGCTGGAGGATGCAGGAGTATATGAATGTGAATCTAAAAATAAAGTTGGCTCAGAATTAAGAAGCCTAACGCTGGATGTTAAAGGTTGGTTTTTTGCTTTTGTTTTATTGCAACTTTTTGTAATTGTTCAGAGGGTCCATGGGTGGTAGCAAATTTCTAATATTAGTAAAATGACTTAGCAAAATGAATGAATTCTGTGAGGACAATGTTTATTTCTTAATGTCCCTCAAAATAATCAGGCACAGCTGTTCCATCCTATAGAGTTTAGTCAGGAAGTTGAATTAATCATCGTTGAAAGTATAATTCCCATTTGCTTTTGTTCAAAGTTAACAATTCATCATTAGTCTCTGAGGTCTTGCTTTTACTATATTTAAACATATATTCAAAACCTTTCACTGGGAGTTAAAAGGAAACTAAAAAAATAGGATTGGCCCATCAAGAAAAATAGTTTTATCCAGCCCCTCTTCCTACGTGAAGAGCACACTATTTCCTTAATATGGAGTAACTGCATATTTTCTGGTTGACTCTTTTCAAGATTATTAAAAAGAAGTAGCAATCTTGATCCTGAGCAACATAGAAAAATCTCCAGACTACGGAACAAGTTCCTTTAAAATACACACCCTTGACCGTCCTACCCTTTTCTAATAGAGAGAAAGGGAAGACAATGATCTCATCAGAGGACTTCAGGGGCCCCTTAATCTCATACCCACTCTTGTGAATGCTCAGTAGGTAGCATCTGTTGATCTTATTGGTGTAAGCATAATACATTAACCTTGACTAATCAGTTTCATGCTCTTTGCAAACTGATGAACTCCTAGTGTGTACTGGAAGCCACACTTGGTGGTGAGCACAACTGCAAATGCCAAACCTTAAGTAGTCTAACTCTTGGCAATCAGTTGGCAACCTCTTCTCAGTGTAGAGAAAACTTGAACCCACATCAGAAAACAGGAAAAATTTTAGTGATCTGGCCAACTTTCTCAAGATTACAAGCCTTATTATATATTTTCTGTCTTTACAGTAAGTCCTCGAAACTTGACAATATCAATACATCCATCTAGAAATGTTAAAGAAGGGGAAAATATCACAATTACATGTAAAACTTTCAGTCATCCACCTGCAGTGATTATCCTGAAAAGAGTTGATCTGGCCAATGAAGTTACTATATGTTCAAACAATGGAACATTTACCTTGTATCATGTCACTCAAAATGATTCAGGGGTGTATGTAATCAGTGCTTCCAATGAGGTTGGGGATGATTCTGGAAGGATTGAGATCTCAGTTATGAGTAGGTTGAACTTCATTCATTCCTGTTTTCTTTTATCCTTGTTGTCTCTGACCACCTTTAACTTAGCTTAACCACAGGAAATTGAAAAATTGAAATTTCTGTAATTCTGTTTGTAATTAATTATTCTCTTTTAAAGATATACTGAAGTTTCTTCATTTTTAAACTTTCTCTTTCACATGTTGACTTTTCTTACTCCTTACTTGCCACCTTTTCCCATTATTTAATTGAGCAAGGAAATAATATTAGGTACTCAGCTAGCCCCCAAAACTGAATATGGCTTAAAATAGCTGGATATCATTGAAAACAAAAACCTGAAATTTTCCTGGACTTTTAAAACTAGCCTTGCTTTGTATTATGTTGGGTTTTTAAATTGTTTTTGTTTTGGCTTGAATGTATTCCATTGATAGAAATAGTGAGGGGTAGTTAAGATTTTCAGTGTTTATATAGCCAATAAAAAATTTTATTAGAAAAACACCCTGGCAACATACTCTCTGCAGATGCTTGAGAGAAAAACTGAAAGGCAAAAGATAATATTTATTAAATTAAAAATAAAACAATAGGAACAGAAATACCTTTGCATGACATGTCATTAATATTGATGCCTCATTGTAAGCATGATGATGTGTACCCGTTGAAATATTACTCATAATCTTTGACTAGCTCAACTCTATCAAGGGAAAGCAGGAAAATGAGGCAATTTTTATTATGTTTAAGGTGAAGAATTTTTCTTCAATAATTTGAAAAAATTAACTTCATATCAGCTGATACTAATGTTTTATCTACTTGAGTGACTTTCAGTATTTAGAAAGTTCTAGGAGGAATGCAGTGGTGACCAAATTCAGATCATTAATTCTTGCCAAGATGGAGGCAACATGTATGTCTCTTAGTGAAACTTAACTGTGAGGTCGTACAATGTTGTGCAAAGTATAAATAGAAGCCAGTCTGCAGTAAATGCTACGGTTTCTTCCTCAGATGTTCTCACAGAGTTCAGATGTTAAATAGTATTGCAGCTGTCAGATGATTTTTTTAAATTTTTACTTTTTTGCAGTGCTAGAGATTGAAGTGAGGGCCTCACACGTGCTAGGCAAGCACTCTACCACTGAGCTACATCCCCAGCCTACTAAAGTTTTTGCATAGTGTTATCTTCTGTATTACATTCACAAGTGAGGATTTAGAAAGAAAAAAAATTAGTAATGTTCAAAAATATTTTGGGGGTAGTAGTTATGCCAAGTAGTGAGTCAAGTGCTGGCATTCAGTACTGGACAAAAAAAAAAATAGTACACAAAGCTTTCCTTATGAAGATTACCATCAGAAGAGGGAACCACATTTAACAGATAAATCGTATAGATGAATGTTTAATTGCAAGCTGTGATAAGGTCTATAAAGACAAAGTGTTGTTGGGGGGTTTTGAAAGTATGTTGGGATTCTTAATTTAGATTAGGGGACATGTAGATCAGACAATGATTCTCTAAGTTATATCTCAGTGGAAACATGATGCTGTCTAAAGACCTTCAGTAAATCGAGAGGATATAAATGATGAAGAGAGACAATATATATTGTGGTGCCTTTACTTCAGGCATACAACACACGCGCACGCACACACACACACACACACACACACTAACTGAAAAATCCATAATCAAGAATTGTTTTTCTTAATATCTTATCATGGTGTTTGAGGATAATGGTCATACTGTAAATGTTATAAGAATTTTCCTGGAAAACTGGTTAGTTATCTCAATTCATGGTGAGTAGTCTCAGTACTTTAGATATTCCTATTTTTCAAAACAAACACCCCTCTCCAATTTCTGCTTTTGTAAAGGATCCCAAAAAACTTGCACCCTCTCTTCTACTTTTCACCTGAAACTGGACTTCTTTCAATTCAAGTTTGTGAAAGTCAACTGCTGTGACCTTTAGATCCATTATGACCATAGCAACCCCCAGCTAGTTATTTGGATAATTCAAAGAAATATGCCTTTGAAGTCCTTTTGGTCTTTATCACACTAACTTGATTCCTTTCTATTTAAAGAACTAGTTGTACTGTTACATTAAAGCATGTGTTATTATCGAATGATTTCTTTTTGTACTAGACATTAATTGCATCTTTTTGCTTATTTTCTAGGAAGAGAAAATAATAAGGACTATTTTTCCCCCGAACTTCTTGTTCTCTACTGTACATTCTCCTTAATAATACCTGCCTTCGGGATGATCATTTACTTTGCAAGAAAAGCCAACATGAAAGGATCATACAGTCTGGTAGAAGCACAGAAATCAAAAGTGTAGCTAACATTTGAAATATTCAACCAGAGATGCTACTTATAAATCCAATAATACTGCTCGTCATTCCACAAGAAAAACAATGAGCTGAGTTCAGACTTCCCAGAATGCATTAAAAACATAAAGGGAGGGCCGGGGATTTAGCTCAGTGGTTCCACCGCCTGCCTTGCAAGTGCAAGGACCCGAGTTCAATCCCAGGTACCAAAACACATAAAGGAATGGCCACTTGTCCCCTTTGCTGTGAGCAAGAAGCCAACGGAAACCTTAGTGCCTGAAAAGTCACTGCCACTGAAGTGAGATGACTGGAAAAGTTTCCCTGATGTGTATATACAATAATATAACCTGTACATATGTAAAGTAAAATTATGCCACACAAGGTGGCTTGGAATAGCAGCACTCTATACTCAGATCATGAGAACAACTAACTAGTTTGGTTTAGACTGACTGTTAATAACTTAATACATCTGTGGGAAATTTAATGTTAACTTTGACTGGCAGCTGACCAAAGTGATCTAATATTTTCTTTTCTTTAACAAAATTTTGTTCTTACAAAGTTTATTGAAGTCATTTCATGTTTTATGAAGAAGCCAGGGTTTTATATGTGTAAAGGGAAATGATAAAGAGGGCCCCGGGTTGGCTTTCAGGTACTAAACACCATAACCTAGGCATACTGGCTGACTGGACTTCTCTGTATGGTACTGGCATGGTACGGAGATGCTTTAGAATGTTCGTTCATCAGAATCTTGTGTAACTTCATTAATAGAGTTTTTAAATGCAACTTCTTTTCATTTTCCTTTGTAAATATTTAGTTTTTTATAGTAAAGTGATAATTTCTGGAATTGGAAGGGTTGTGTGCTTATTTATTATAAATGCTTCCTTTATATCATAGCTCTTTTTGAAATGCTACTTAAAAGGGTGAAAGCTCCAAACTATGGAAATAATAGACATCCTTAAAATGTGGTCTTCAGGTTACTTTTATCAAAATCACCATGGGAACTTGACAAAAATTCAGACCTCTTGGTGTCATCCTAACCTAATGAACTGAGATATCTGGTTTTGGGTCCCTAGACCCTGCAACTTTTCAATTAAAATATATACAGGAGTGATGGCAAAACTTTTAGAGACCAAGTGCCAAACTGCAACCCCAGTGCACTTATTTATCACATAATGCCAACACTGCAATAAAACCTGAATTCTGAAGTTTGGGTTTAGACAATACAACTCTACATTAACATCTTTTGTCTTAAAAGAAAAACACAATAACATGCATGCTGTAGGTTTGCCAACACTAATATACAGTGTACATAAAAAGAGTGAGGCAGACTACCATGCACATGCTAGTGGTCAATAAATAAACACCTCTATACATACTACCAAGTTCAAGAGTCAGACCATTACCATTTTCAGGGCCTCCTATATGACACAAACTGGCATGTAATAAATGCACATACTGACAATTCCCACTGAGAAGTAATCAACAAATATCCCAAATTATGTATTGATTATTTCCTTGCTTTATTTGGGGGTTTTATGCCTACATAAATATTCCTAAGTAGCGCAATGTTTAGTTTTGCCAGGTTTCGAATTATATAGACGTATCACCAAATGATACATTTGCTTCTTTCTTTCACTCAAACTATGTCCTTGCATAATTTATTTATCCATTCTATTGATGGATATTTGGATTCTTATCAGTCTTTTCTATTATGAGAAAATGCTTCTGTAAACATTATTGTACATGTTCTTGTCTAACACTTGCAAGAATTTACCAAAGATTCAACAATTTCTCAAGCACAAATACATACTAACGTTTTCTGGATTGTAGTATATATATACATGTTAATGTTTATGGGAAAAGTGAAGCTCTTCTAAAGTAGTTGAAATAATTTGCACTTCCAATGACAATGAATAAAAGTTGCCACTATTGAGCAGCTTGTCAAATGTGGTATTTTCTGACTTTAATTTTTTTCTTTCTTACAAGTATAAAATGATCTCTTAAAATACAGTATTTTAAAATTATATTTCCCTGATTATTAATGAGATTGAACACATTTTCATATAGTTAAGGACCTTTTGGGTTTAGCATCATTTTAACTGTGAAATATCTGTACATTTCTTTTGTTTGCTTTCTAGAAGCTGGTAGTATTTTTCTTACTAATACACACACACACTTTTTCCCGGATGCTCGTCTTTTGTCAGTTTTAAGTTTTACAAACATTCTTAACAAGTTTGTGCTCTGCATTGCGTCATTATCCTGCTTGTGTGTAGGGAACAGGGAAAGGGGACGTTACTAGAACTTCTGCAGTGAGTCCTAGTCTCCTGCAAGCCATGGCAGCACAAAGCAAATTAACTTATTAGACAGGAAAGGTAGAAAAAAATGAGACTTTGAGAAGAAGCTGAGCTTTGGGTCTGATCAGTGCTGCTCTGGGCAGTGAAGATGAAAGCCCCAGCTTACCTCACCTTTTATTCAGTACATCGGGAGAAACAGATGTAACAAATGACTTGCAGGGAGTTCAGTACATTGGGATAAAGAAAGTGTAACAAATGACTTGGGGCGGGAGAAGAAAATCCAAGAACAATGAGGAACTGAGTAGATGAAGATTTTGTTCCTCCCAGGATGTCTTCAGCTGGTGTAACCTTGTCCTGGAGAATCACAGCATCACCGGATCACTGAGGTCTCAGTTGTGACCAGAGGCCAAATGGAATTATGTCTCGAAATGCCATAGCTGACCCGTAGGTGGAAGAACTAGGCCTAATCAAATGGTTTTACCCTAAAATTATGTAGCATTCCTTCCGACACTTGTGAGCTTTTGTGCTCTCATTCCCTGTTTGGTATATTTTGATTACTGTGGTTAAATTTATTAACATTTCCATTTTGGTTTGTTTTTTCTATCACAATTATGAAATCTTTCTCTACTCTTACTCTACCATTCTGCTTCAAAAGTTTTGTAGTTTTACCTTTAAGTTTTCAGGGAACTTTTCCCACTTGGAGTTGATTTTTGTATACAATGCACAGTACAGATACCATTTTACCTTTTCAGATGATAAAACAATAATGCCTATACTATTTATTAACAAGTTTATTGTTTCTTCTCACACTTCTGCAATACCACTTTTTACACATTCAGTGTTTGGGGGGGGCTATCTCTGGGCTCTCTGTATTGATTTCTTAAGATATTGTCTATTCTTGTGTCCACACTACCCTGCACTAGTTCATACTTAACAGAAAAAGCCCCCAACAGGGAGACAGAACTTTTGCAAAAGGAAAGGGAAGCAAGAGATGGATGCGGGGGGAGGTGGTGAAAAAAGAATTAAGATGAGAGGGCCGGGGTGTAGCTCAGTGGTGCCGCCGCCTGCCTCACAAGTGCAAGGTCCCGAGTTCTATCCTGGTACCAAAAAAAAAAAAAAAGAGTTAAAATGTGTTATGCACATGTACCAACTCCACACCATGAATGTAATCATTAAATACTGAAAACATGTAGTAATAAAAAAAAGAGAGAGGAGGAGGATTTTGAGGACAGTTAATGGCAATGTGTTTGTTGTTGTTGTTGTTTTTGGTTCCGGGGATCTAATTTGGGGCCTTGCGCTTGCGCAGCAGGCGGTGAAACCACTGAGCTAAATCCCCGGCCTGGCAATGTGCTTTTTCACTGTAATAAAATTTTAAATTAAAAAACAGTAAGTCAACTCTATAGCTTTAATTAAAATAAAAGATTATGAATGAATATTTTTCTTTTTCTACAAATGTGTCTTGTTATTCTAGTTTTTGTATTTTCATACAAATTTTTAACTCATTTAGTTGAGTCACACAAAGAAATATGAAGTTGTTGATTACAATTATACAGAATCTATAGATGAGTTTGGATTGAATTAGCATTTTTTAAGTATTGAGTCTTCCAAACTGTGAACAACGTATGTTTCTCATATGTTCAGATTATCATTGATATCTTAAAGAAACATTTTATTTTTGTAATATTGTAAATGTCTTATTTCTCTTTTAAATTTATTTCTAAGGTGTTTATAATTTTTACACTATTATTCACGGTATATTAAAAATTCTAGTTATTGAGTCATGATTTTCATGCAGTAGAATTAAGTACCCTCACAATAAAAAAAATTCTAGCACTTCAATATTCCCTTCAGGTACCATTACAGGAAGTCTCACCCCCCCCCCCACGTACGTTTGCTTCTTGGAATACACTGACTTACTTTCTGTCACTGTCGTCTTGCCTCTTCTAGAATTTCATATCAATGAAATTGTACAGCATATATTCTTTTATAGCTGACTTCCTTCACTTACTTCAATGCTTCTGAGATTCACCTATGTCATTATGTGTATCAATTGTTTATCTGTAGTGTTAGAGCATATCATTTAATGCTCATAGCAAAAATTATTTATTCTTCAGTTGGCTCAGTTGTAGACAATTATGTTGACTATAATTTGAGGCTACTATTAATAATTTGGTACAATCATTCAAATACAAATATTTATGTGCACGTATATTTGTCAAATATATAGGGGAGAGATAGAGACAGAGACAGAGAAAGGGAGGAGGGGCGAGGCTCTAATATTGGTCTAGTATTGACAACGGCATGGTCATATTTTTTAACTCTGCTTTGTTCTATGGCTTGATATGCCAATGCCTATATGGTACTGTCACCCTCATTATAGCTTTATAGTAAATCAGGTAGTCTGAGGCCTCCAATTTTACACTTCAGAAAGTGTTGGCTATGCTTGATATTTTGAATCTCCATATAAATTTTATAATGTGTTCACTAATTTATATTTAAAATACCCTGCAGGTATTTTGGTTTTTTTGGGTTTTTTTGTATTGAATTCTTTTATTGGTACACTGTAAGTATACAACACAATTACATTTCTCACTGGGAATTGTACCTTTATATAATGCATCTTGGTTCTTATTTTTTCCCCATTCCTAGCCCTCCCTTCA